TATTACATCAAATCTTAGCTATAATAAAGACGTAAATTAGTGAAAACCTCAATTTCTCCAATAATTTCACTATATTTCTCATAATATTGTTTGTTTCCTTGGTCTTATAATAAAAACAACGAATATTTCTAATATTTTTCATATAAATTGCATACCCATTGGGTCTACCTGCCCCGACCCGTGGCCCGTGATAAATTACCCGACCTGGACCCGACCTGCCACGGGGCGGGTCTGGGTACCAAGAAACCCGCCCCGGACCTGTCCCATTGCCATTCCTAACGGTAGCTCAACAATAGACCAGCTCTCTCGGTCACCTCGTGGGATGATATGCTCAACAAGTTTATGACTCGGTATTGCCCACCTTCAAAGACGGCGGAGTGGGACAAGAAGATCACCTACTTCGAGAAAGAGGAAGATGAGACATTGAGGGATTCTTGGGAAAGGTACTCCGACTTCTTCCTCCAATTCCCACATCATGGATTCCGAGGAGCAATTCCGGATTGAGACCTTCTATGGAGGTCTCCACCAAGACGACAAGATCCTCCTTGACTCCTTATGTCAAGGGAAATTGATTAACATGACGCCACCCAAAGTGACCGAGTTTCTTGAAAACATGACAAGTAAAGGGTATGATTGGGGTTTGGCGAGAAGTGGAAAGAGAAGCACCGCAAGAGGAGTGCAAAGTGTAGTAGTGAGTCCCCCTCTTGAAGCGACGATTGATCGGTTGATTGATGCACTCCTTGAGGACAAGAAGCATGGGAAGAGGCCGGTAATGGCATGTGATTGGTTTCAAGTACCAACCACGAGATTTTGAATTGTCAAATGATGAAGGAATCAAGCACCCCTGAGGAGCAAGTGAGTTTCATTGCCAATGCTAAGGGGAACAACCCCTATAGCAACACTTACAACCCGGGGTGGCGAAATCATCTGAATTTCTCTGGGTCTTCTCCTACCAACCCAAGAACTCCCGGTTTCCAAGGAACGACGGGAAATTATCAACGAAGGCCTACTGTCATTCAACAAAGGCCGCAATTCCAAGGCTCCAACTTCCAACAACCGTTTCAAGCTCAAAGAGGTCAAGGGTTCCAACACCCAGATAAGGTTGCGAAACTTGAAGAGGCTTGCAAAGCTGGGTTTTCTTAGGCAATTTATTTTCTCCTATCTAGGTTAATGTAGGGCACCCCTCTATATTCGTATTAGTACCTAGGGTTGGTAGTAATTGGTCGGTCGAACTCCGATTCGAGGGTGAAGAATTAGCAACCCTTAGTCGATAGGTCGAGAGAGTCGATTTGGTGGCTTGAATCTAATTCCATCGACCTAGAGACCAAGAGAGTGGCATTTGGCTACTTGTTGCACTTCCCTACAGTTACAACCAGCTTACCACACATGACATTCAATTAGTGTGATATCCATTTACTTTTCCAAACATTTTAGCTATAAATTGTTGTTTTGACCAAAAGACAACCGCTAGATAATGTTTCAAACAATCGAATTAGGGGTACATGAATCGGCTTAGGTCGACATTTAAATATAATTTCCCTATATTGCACCCAATTAAGGTTTTTACTTGGGCCTTAATTGAGAGTTTTATTGTGGTATTCGGGACCAGTCAACGAACCAACAATAGAAGCAAAAGAATTGATTGGGTATTCGGTAACTGTCAAAACAAGCAAACTAGAAGAATTAGGAGTTGCGTCGAATTTAGAGGCAAAGGAGATGAAGAAAAATCAAGAAAGGCAAAAGTTTCCAAATATGAAGTTAGGGAAGAAGAAATTGAGCCAAAAAAAAATTCTCATAGAAGAAGGACATGACGAAGGAATTAGGTTTGTCATCCCCGGTGAAGACAGAGGAGAAAGAACCTGATAATCCACCATCGATGCAATTTGCTCTAAGACGATGAAGGAGGATTGTTGTGGTGCTGGACGGTTAAAGTTGCAATCTTGATTGTTGCCGGTACTTGGCTGTGGTGGGGGTGAGGTGGCCAGAGACGTGGTAATCGTCTTCTATTATGTTGTTTCTAGTGTTAGTAGTTCCTCGATATCATAAACAAATAATCTACACATAATATAATACACCGAAGGGAAAAACGGGAGCCCCATTTCAAATTTCCTGCAACATTTTGGTCTTCACAATTACTTTTTTTTATTCATTAAAAAGACACGTACTGGGATTCGAACCATGTCCATTTTAAAGAAAAGCAAGGAACATAACCAATCACACTAAGTACATTTGTTGTATCCTTTTAAATAAAAAACATATAATAGCAGGGAGGAAAAACCCCTTCCCCCCATTTCAAATTCCCTGCTCCATGAGCGTTTGTAGGAAGGGTAGAATAGGTAGTGTTACTTTTTTTCTCTTTCCTCTGTGGAACGGGCCAACTTACCGTACACATGCCGATTTAAACGGGTTCAGGAGTGTCAATTTTTTTCTTTAAGCCCTTGTATTTCTCCGTGGTGATAAAATATATATGAAAAGGCAAAAACAATACTTCTTTTTATGCTAAAAATAAAAAAAATTAACAATAAACTAATGCATGGTATCTAAAGGGCTAACCGCTAACCATAAAATAAAAGAGTTGAATGGGCCTGACCTACACCGGATTTGGCCATCAAGTAAAACAAATGAACATCATTGGTTTGACATTCTAAAACAAGCTATTTTCTCTAGCATAATATATATTATTATATTATTTTATATTTTAGTGGCTAAAATATAATGTAGTTTAAAGTTATTCAATGGTTCAATCTCAACCAACCCAATTAGTCCAATTTTTATCATTTCAAATATATATTATATAATTATTTGATATCATAATGATAAAATTATAGTGTATTTTATAGGGAATCGTTTGGTATTTGTTAGTAAAAAACTAAACAGAAAGATCTATTTGGTTATTTTAAACATTAAAACGATCCTAAACATTTTCAGTTTCTTTTGAATTTCTATGGTTTTATTCCCGAATAAGTGATGTGCAAATGGGGAATTGCAGTCATCTATTTTCTTTCACTATTTTTTATTTTCAAATAGAAAGTTTAAAAGTAACGAATAATTAGAATTTTGCATGGGTCGGTCAAACATGCTGAATTTTAAGTTTTGGCCCGTTTTGATCAAGTCTAATTTATAATCACATGGTTCCCTGATACCCGATAAAAATCTCAATCCAAACCAGTTTGGCAGGTGAGTCCGTGTTTACCACCATTCTCTAGGAATACGACAATGGCGGTTCCTATCCCAAATCGTGTTGTTCGTTCTTGATTTCCTTAGATTTTATCATGGCCTGACAAAAACCAGAAAGCACAATGACGACAAGATGAAAGTTTTATAAATCAAATTAATGGTGTTCTCTTTCTGATCTCATGTAATTATATAATGAAGTTGAAGTTTTTCGATGCTATTCAATTTCATTGGTATGTTTTTAATGGTCTAACTTCATGGTTGTACCAACTTTTGATGTACTGTTTATGTTCCAATATATTCACTTTGGTATGATTATTAGGGATATGCTAGGCGGTACTCACCATTAGACCAATTTAGCTTAATGATTATTAGGGATATCCCAATAATTCAATATTCGGCTCAGCTCCTCCGACCAACGGGTCGGGTTACAAGCTAGTTGTTAATTAGATAATAGTTCAACTTAATGAGAGTAGGCTATGGTATCGTTGATCCCTTGAGAATACGACTGAACCACTATATTGCAAGTCTAAAAGTGGTATACTTGTCATTGGGTTAGGAGTTGGTGTACATCATTTTTATTAATCAATCTCACACGTGGAATCACATAACAGCTAGAGACCATGAAACACGAACATCATTGAATAAAATTGAAAGGGCTAAATTACACATTTGGTCACTCAAATAATACAAATCTTTCATGTTTGCCACTCGAATTACTTTTCTTTCTTATTCGCCACTAACTTTACGAATCGTTTCACCGTTAGTCACTCGCCGTTACACTCAGTTAAATTTGTCCTACGTGGCAGTCAACTATAAAGTTTGACCGTCAACTAGATGACGTGAAAAATAAAATAAATTTATTTTAAAATCTCATAATTCCACTTACTTTGTTTTATCTTTTTAATTATCTAATAAAAATTAATTATCAACTGCTTCCTCCACATTGTCTTCCTCCCTTTCATGGCTCAAGGCCATAGGAATTAGGATACAAAGGACATTCATGGCGAGGGTGTTCGCCTGCCACGGTGTCAAATCGACGATCACAACGACGGATCCAGGACATAGTAGAGCACTGGGCCGCATTTGAATTAAATATTAGATATCATAAACAAAAATATATAATAACTATAGTTTTCATTCATTACAATCCCAATTCTTCTAGAAGGTCTTTTAATTTGGAAAAATCCATACATGGAGGCAAACATTCAAAAAATTTAATATTTTAAATAAGAAAATAGTTAACAAATTATGAACGATAACAGAAAATAGCTAATATTTTGATTCGTTACAAAAAATTTGGCTAATATTTTGTATTTTAAGGGTTTGACTAATATTTAAAAATGCACGAATGGTTTGGCTAATAATTAGTATTTATTATTTTTATTTCAATGAAACTTTATACTTAGTCTTTTACGTTTCAGTTTTTTAGATATTTTTTCTAAAATAAAACTATTCGGACTAGAATTTCTAAGCTAAATTTAGAGTAGTGGTTTGGATATGTTTATCTAGACCATTTTTCAACTTACACAAAATCCTATTATAAAATAACACTCGTCCGACTTCTAAATATCACTAGGTCGAATATCCAACTTCGAGAAATTTATAAGTATTGTACTAACTCTGAATCCGGAGTAGGGCTGGGCCGGGGCCCGGGTTGGCCCAGCCCTAGATCCGCCGCTGAACGATCATCACCACTCTCCTGAACGCCCCTCTCTTCCCCAACAAGATCCACCAAGATGCTCAATTGGGTCTTTAAATCCAAACCCACATCATCGAATTCTCATGTGCCGAGGCAGGGCTGCTGGAAGGTTGCGTCAACGCCATCAAGTACCCGGACCTTATTATCCCGTTCTTCAAGTTCATGGTTGTCTTCCAGCAACCCGTCGAGAATCACCTCTGGTACTGGAAGCCGGATTGCATCATTGTCGATGTGATCTTCTCCAGGGCTACAGACACCGCCGACAAACTCTGCTTTCCGAGGCTCTTCTTCAAGAGAGCTGGGTTGTTTCCCGTGTATTAATACCCTCAAACTCCACGAGCCTTACAAAGGCGTGGAATCTAAGTCTGAACCCATTGCGTGACGACGGTCGAATCAAAGCCGACAACGCTCTCTTCACCCAGTATCCTTCCACCCCGCCGATCCTCACCAACGAATTCGTCATCAGGTATCTCCTCATGTTCAGCCTGTTCGGCCTGAACGAGCTCCCTCCGGTGTGGCCGTTCTGGTGGCTGTTCTTGTGGATACTGCAACGGAACGATCCGGGATACGAGGTCGGAGAGCACATACACGTCTTCCTCACGGGGAGACTGGAGATGTGATTGGTGTGCTTCGTCGCGACGGATATGTTGCGATTGGGAGATGTGGATATGCTCGATCGAGAATCGCAATGTCGGCGATGAAGGACTCTGGGAATATAGATTGACGTGCGTCGGAGAGGCGGATCTGTGGTGGGGAAGAAGGCCGACGGAGGAGAGTAAAAGCTCGAGCTCGTGGAAGACGCGAACGCCGATGAGGACGAGGAAGACGAGAGATGACCGGCGGAGTTGTACGACGGGAATCGGCCTCGGGGAGAAAGCGACCGGAGCACCGGCCCGCTGGATCTCTTAGAATTAGAGCCCATGCCTTTTTTTTCTTTCCTTCCAAAGCTTATGCATTAGAAAAAGAAGGGCAGAGAAGGGAGAGGAGGAGGAAGGAAGAGGCCCGTTGGTGCTCTAGAGGCGTCGGAGCAAAGCTTCACTTGGTTTGTGAAGGAAGAGGAATTGATAAAGCACCAACGACGCTTTTGGATCAGAGAAACGCTGCGAACAATCAACCCACGAGTTGGATTGAATCGGTAAAGGAAGAACTTCACAAACAGAGTTCGAGTGTTTAGTTGGGAATGGAAGTTTCGTGCAATTCTCACGATGGGAGGAATGCTCGATAACTATAAGTCAAAGCTTGGCCACGTTCAATGTGACTAATTGAAAGGTACAAGCACAAGATCGAACTAGAACACCCTAGAACGATCTCAAAAACCCATGAGCAAGAAGCTATGGCGATAAACTCTCGGTTTATTCGATTAACTCTCAAAAAATGACTAATACATCATAGACACGAGTTTAAATAGGTAAAATAAACTTACAACACAATTAAACAATGTCCTAAACAAAACAAAACTCAAAGGAAACCAAATCTAACACAAAAAGGTAAGAATTCCCAAACTGTGAACAAATCCTAATCCGAATAGGATTCGGATTTCTTGTTTCTCCAGGCAGCAGCTTCATTGTCGGCACGAACTTCTACCTCTTTGTTCGAGCCCTTCCACGCATCAATCAGATCACCCAATCCCACGTCGTTGTAGAAGAAAGTGTGTACTTTCATGTGGTAGAGAACTTGAAGCTCGACTCTTGCTGGCTTTCTTCAAACGAGCCTCCAAAAGTACCAACCCGAACTCACTTCCTGCCTCAGCCAAATTCTGGCAGTTTCTTGGTTTCATCATAGGGTTTTGATACGCTTTGAAAATGACCTTCCTGGACTCCCTTTGAGCTCCAAAGTGTCCCAATTGAAATAGGAACTCCTCCTCTTCAATACAAGCCCAAGAACTCGACTTTCTACCACGCCAATAAAGAGTTATGTTTGTCCAAAGTGGTGTGCCTGAGACGTTTTCAACACTTAGCCAAAATTCAGGAATCAAAGTGGTGAATATGATTCCTTCTTGGGCAAGCAATCCAAGCTTGTAAATGGCCTCTAATGGAATCATATCAGGTCCCCCCTCTTGAAAAAGTGTTGCCCTCAACACTTTGGTCCTCCTTTGCTCGAACTTCTCCCAAAACTGATCCCAGATAGGATCCCAAGAAGGGCCTTCATACTCGAAGTTTTCCATAAGAGAATCAGAGTTCTTCGCTTGATGAATTGGGGCTTTTGAATTCCAGCATCCCTCGCCCAAATGATTCCTTCCAACGTCTTCGGCATGCTTTGAATTGAACTTCTCAACCGGTAGTGTGCCTCGAATCATCTCCGTCGGCGTCGATTCGCCTTTTCCTCCTTTCGCGCCATCGACGGTTTTAAAAACCCCAGAACCCAGAAAATCCAATTTTGATTTGGGCGTTTTTCCCACAAGGATCGTTGTGTCGAATTTATCACTCCCAGAGCTTCCCCTGACCTCATGGAGTGATTTGGCAGTCGTGGTGGGTCGAATCACTCTCGATCGTCCCAACCAATAAGCTCGAATTTTGGTCGAGTTTTGCCATTTTCAGAGCATTTTCGGCTCGATTTGGATTCAGTAATGGAGGTATGAACACTTCAATCGAAGTCACAGATGAGCTTCCTAAGGTGTGTTGCATCGTGCCTGCAGTCTCAGGCATGCCCAAATCATCCCCAGTTGGCCTGCCCCATCCACCCTCTCTCCTGCTCTGCTCCAGTGTCGTGACACAGGGTCGTCGATGACGAAGAGTCTTGGGCTGCTTGTACCCCGTAAGCATAAGTTTCCAAAGCACAGTATTGCTTTCGCGAGGATCCTCAGATCCGTCCACAAGAACTTCCTTCTTCGAACGTCGCTGATTAGCCTCCATCTGCCGTTGATCCGCCCTGACTTCTTCCGGCGACATTGGTTTAAGCGTATACTGCTTACCCTGGTGCTGGACCCTATATTGGTTTGTATCCCCATAATGACAAACCCCTATGTCGAATCGCCAGGGCCTTCCCAGCAGTATATGAGCAGTCTGCATCGGTGCTACGTCGAACTCAAGCTCATCCTTATACCTCCCAATTTCGAATTTACTTTAGCTCGCTTCGTCACCCGAATTGCCCCGTAATCATTCAACCAATGTAAATTGTAAGGCTCAGGGTGTCTAATTGTGCTCAACCCAAGTTTGTTTACTGCATCTTGACTAATGACGTTAGTACAGCTCCCGCCATTGATGATCATTGAAAGAACCTTACCTTTGACCAGGCAACGAGAATGAAACAAGGTCTCTCGCTGGCTGAAATCTGGCTCATTGTCGATGGACAAAGCCCTCCTGCTGACTCCCAAAAGATTCCCAGGTGCAGGAGTTTCCATTTCAAGCTTCTCGTCGACCTTCTCCTCCTCGCTGGAGTCAGACTGCTCGTCGTCAGTGAGGTAAGCACCGTCTCTGATCACCAGTGTCTTCACATTGGGACATTGGATGGCCTTATGGCCTCGGTCATGACATTTGAAACACTGAATTACTCCAGATCGCTCAATTGGAGTAGGATTCGTGTTTCTGGGGACAGGTTTGGGAGGATCAAACCGAGTTGGAGTCGAATTGGACTCACCAACTGTCTCAGCCCCCTGTTTGCTTGCCGGAGTAAACTTTCTGCTAGACAGCATCTTTTGTTGCTTCTCTATTTTGATGGAAAGGTGCAAAGCGTCTTCTAGGTCCACAAATGACCTTAAGTCGACTTCTTGTCTGATCTCTCGATTCAACCCATGGAGGAATCGCACAATCGTGGCCTCTCTGTCTTCTCGTACATCAGTTCGCATCCGCAGGAGTTCCAATTCGCGAAAATACTGCTCCATGCTACGTCGTCCCTGTCGAATCGCTTGCAAGGATTTGTGGAGCTCCCTCTGATAGTATGCCAGGACGAATCGATCATGCATCAATCCACGTAGCTCTTCCCAGTCCGTCACCTCTGGCTGCAATTTCTGCCGTCGTCCGAGACGAATCTTCTCCCATCACTGAGCTGCGTAGTCAGTGAACTCGAAGGTGGCTAGGGCTACCTTTTGCTGCTCTGTATAATGTCCACACTGGAAGAAAATGATCATCTTTCGCTCCCAGTCCAAATATGTTGAAGCATTGATCGTGCCCTGAAACGCCGGTACTGCCAATTTGATTCCTGGGGAAATCGCAGGCGGCTCTGCTTCACGATTGTCTCGCCGTTCTCGACGTGGCCTGTCGCGATGGGGTTGTGCTACGACGAGACGTCGTTCTGGCTCCGCAATTCGATCCATCAACGCTGGAATTTCGCCAGGTCGTTCATCGGCGAGAACTTCTTTGTCACGGGCCCCATTTTCCGGCCGAGCGATGTCGTCGATCTTTTGATCGATTTCCTGCCGGAATTGAGTGAATCTCTCGTCGAACTGTAGCATCAGCTCATGTATGTCAATCTGTTGTCCCGCCATTGCTCGATTGTCGACGCGAGCCTCATAATTCAACTCGTTGTCCTGCTCTGGTTCTCGCTGTTGACGAGTAGGGTCACTGGAGACAGGACCTTTCGATCGTGTCCAACGCGTCAATTCAGCACTAGATTCCGTCGTTTTTGTCCACTGTGCTTGAACCAGGCGATGATGCCACTCGATAAAGCACCAAAGACGCTTTTGGCTCAGAGAAACGCAACGAACAATCAACCCACGATTTGGATTGAATCGGTAAAGGAAGAACTCCACAAACAGAGTTCGAGTGTTTAGTTGGGAATGGAAGTTTCGTGCAATTCTCACGACTGGAGAAAGGCTCGATAACTATAAGTCGAAGCTTGGCCACGTTCAATATGACTAATTGAACGATACAAGCACAAGATCGAACTAAAAGACCCTAGGACGATCTCAAAAACCCATGAGCAAGAAGCTATGGCAATAAACTCTCGGTTTATTCTATTAACTCTCAAAAACTGACTAATACATCATAGACACGAGTTTAAATAGGTAAAATAAACTTACAACACAAGTAAACAATGTCCAAAACAAACCAGAACTCAAAGGAAACCAAATCTAACACGAAAAGGTAAGAATTCCCAAACTGTGAACGAATCCTAATCCGAATAGGATTCGAATTTCTTGTTTCTCTAGGCAGCAGCTTCATAGTCGACACGAACTTCTGCCTCTTCGTTCGAGCCCTTCCACGCATCAATCAGATCACCCAATCCCACGTCGTTGTAGAAGAAAGTGTATACTTTCATGTGGTAGAGAGCTTGAAGCTAGACTCTTGCTGGCTTCCTTCGAACGAGCCTCCAAAAGTACCAACCCGAACTCACTTCCTGCCTTAGCAAAATTCTGGCAGTTTCTCGGTTTCATCATAGGGTTTTGATACGCTTTGAAAACGACCTTCCTGGACTTCCTTTGAGCTCCAAAGTGTCCCAATTGAAATGGAAACTCCTCCTCTTCAATACAAGCCCAAGAACTCGACTTTCTACCACGCCAATCAAGAGTTATGCCTGTCCAAAGTGGTGTACCTGAGACGTTTTCAACACTTAGCCAAAATTCAGGAATCAAAGTGGTGAATATGATTCCTTCTTGGGAAAGCAATCCAAACTTGTAAATGGCCTCTAATGGAATCATATCAGGAATTCTCTCGCTAATAATCGATTTTATAATTTAATTAATTTTAATTCAATAATAAATATGATAAAGCATATAGACAAAGCAAGTGGAATGATGAGATGGAAAAATAAAATTATTTTTTAATTCATTTTAATTTCCACGTCATCTAGTTAACAGTCAAACTTTATAGTTGACTGCCACGTAGGACAAACTTAACGGAGTGTAACGGCGGGTGACTAATGGTGAAACGATTCGTAAAGTTAGTGGCGAATAAGAAAGAAAAGTAATTTGGGTGGCAAACATAAAAGATTTGTATAATTTGAGTGACCAAACGTGTAATTTAGCCAAATTGAAAGTATAAAATATCATGTTCCTCAAACTCAAAGGAACAATCATAACCCAAAGATTAAATCAATATGTGGCTTAACTAAGTCCCTACTCAACTTCTCTTTCATATATCATTTAATTCGTACTCGATCAAAGTTGCTTGACAATAATAATCCCTGAGATTTTAAATTAACTAACCAACTATTGTAGTTGTGAAATCAATATCAAAGACAATTGTTAGTGTCACAAAATAAAACTCGAGATTCTAATTTACACTTTTT